CTTGAGTGTATGTGCATTTGCTCTACAATCATCCTCATCTCAACATAAGAAAAACAGATCCTAGAAACCAAAAGCAGCAGGACATTATTAAGACAGAAGGCAGATTCAAAAGGGAGTGCCAAATGACCACCAAGTTTTGGGAAATATAAATAAGAGAATACGTCATAACTTTTATATAACATTCTTATAGACACTGCCTTAAAAATAGGGCATTCTTGGTTGATGGCAGAGGATCATTCGTCGTTGGCAGTTTTCCCCGATACCAATAAGCCGCCAAGATTTCAGCCAGCACCTCGACCTGTTCCATCGGGGGTTTTGCACGACGGGCATTACCGTGCTGATGAAAAGCCTGTCGTCTCTTTTCAGTGCATGGTCGTAGGGGGCTGATTCTCTCCACTTCTTACAAGTTTCTGCAAAATGTCAAAAATATGGGTTCATCATAGGCACATATCTCCACAAAATCAGAGAAGTTTCGCTATGTCACCGTTTGAAAGATACTACACTACGTAAAAACAAAAGATAATGTTCAGTTTACAACTAACGTCGATATTGCTGTTCAGTTAGCCAGCTATCCATAACTTATCCCATTGTTAAGTGCTCCGTTTATGCATGTGAAAACTGAAATTCGTTGGTTATCAAAAGGTTGACTACATCACATTACACATCTGTATGTAAAAACGACAGAATCGTAATAACCTGTATTTCTCTGACTTTGGCCATTTTCATGGCCTTGGCTTTTTCGATTTCTTCTTCCTTCTTGCGCAATTTCTCTCTGTACTTTTCCAACTCTTTCGCATAATTTTTGACGTTTGATTCCACTTGTTTAATTCGGGCCTGTTGTTTGAGTTCCAACTCTTTTGCTTCGGCTTTCACGGCGTCCACGGTGTCCTGAAACTGAGGAGACCATTCTTTCTCCTCGGCGATTATTTCCTCCAGTTCAGACCGAGTTGGCCACATGACTCCCGGAACGACGCCGCTACTTCGGCCATACATTGCGTACCGTTCTTTCAGCGCCCATCTTTCTTTCTGCCACCTATATCTAGAAAACAGATGTTTCACAGTTAAAAGCGCTTAAATATGTAATTCGGAAAACAATTACTTGATTAAACCTAACCTTTACTGACACCATCGGTGACAAATTCTGATTCGCAATTAGAAGTTATAATGATTCAGAATGATACAGCCATAAAAGAACATCTTGAAAATGAATCGCATTGCCATCACGAATTCAAGTCATTGTTGTAAAATAACTATTGAATAGAGCAAAAAACTGAAATTAATCAGGTCACGAAACGTGTCGATACGCAAATACCAACGAGGAGCGGATAACGATAAAATAAAAAAACTCGGCAAGAAACGAAGGAAAAGGAATCTGAAATGATGGAAAATTATGGTGTAGGCTCAGCAAGCACTAAATAAGTTTTAGTAGAGGTATCAAGAAAAATATCAAAAATGAAAAGCAAGGCGATTCAGGATTATAAGGTAAATACCAATCTACAAATTGTGCATACTGAAGATAAATTACAAGATACATAAAAAACCATCATGGGCTAAAAAGAATGTAACCAAAACTAACGGCTGGACAACAGTCATCAGAGACGGCAGCAATAAAAAACAGATCTGGAAAAATTTCAAGGAATAAATCATACAAAATAGTTCATTTGACCAAATAGAAGTGCCCTACGAGCACTAATTCATCTCCTGTTCAGGCAGAGCCCGTTCAAACAAGACTGTTTCTTAAAGAAATAAAAGTTGGATTAAAAATCTAAAAATGACAAGGCACCAGATGAACTTAAAAGAGCTTAAGTGATCAGAGCTTGATCGAAAGAATGCATTCTACTGAATTGAAACGACAAAGTTTGGTAGCGGAAGAGATTCGAAATAATAATAGTAAAGCAGTTATCATGCCACTGCCGAAGAAAAAATCTAAAGCAAACTGTAGCAATTGCAACGACATCAAACGATGAGATTACTCAAACATCCACAGCATAAAAAGAACTAAAGACCAAAGTAATCGCAAAGCATGAATATATCAGATTTAGGCGTGTGAGTCTAGCTATGGAGTAACTGCTTCCAACATAATCAAGGCATAGCATAACAATCTAATCGACTTCAAGCAACTATACGATAATATTTGGCAACTAGGTCAACGGAATGCAAAAGAATTTCAAAGAGTATGAATTAAACTAATAAACTTAACAAAGAATGACACTGAATAGTGAATTTTTCGATTCTGGGTTTATAAATCACAAATGACTCATCTTGATACATAATCAGAAAAGCAGTAGTTCATCGGTGTGAAAAAACGGCGCTCTTCTAATATGCCAAATACCGTGCCGTTCCGCCAGGCTTCGTGCTGTCATCGTTTCTGTTCAACTTTTACGTGAATTCTATTAAAGCCGTCAGCCCTATCGTTTGTGTTCGATGCATTGATGATATGGTACTGATTTCGATTATGAAAACTGATTCCTCTAAGTTATAAGGTTCCGCCATGAAAATTGAGCAATGGAATAAGCTCAAAGGTTTGAAAATCAACAGTATCGAGAGCTTCGAAATGGTCTGTCTCGTGAAAAGCACCAGGTCAAGACATCTGTTGCCAGCAGCCGAATAAAGAACAACTGATCCAAAGCACTCACACTGGCGGTAAGTACCTTGGGATTGACTTAAATGACCTTCAGATGGATTCTATGTTCAAAGAAAACTAAGAGCCTTTCTACCTCATGAAGTTGTAGATTCGAATCAGATTGTTCGCCTCTTCGTTTTTGTTGCTAGGTACAGAAAATTACCTATTCCGGCGGCTTTTCCTGGTCTGCAACGAAAGGATTTTCGTGTTCTACGTCAAACAGTCGTGCCTATCTCTCTCGTAACGGCAACACAGACCTGAAGAAAATCGTTCATTGGGTAGCGTCATCGATAGTCTGCGCAGCGCGACGACTCGAAGACTCGTTGCTGAGAGATGACAACCATCCCTTACACGCAAAGCTCAAACGAAGAGTCTTTTGCGTTCAGACATAAGAAACAGTCAGCGACATTCCAGCTTACAGTGAGGTTTGCCGTAGGTCAGTACCAACTTTCCTGATTGTGACAGTAAGAAATTCAGAGGACCGTAAACATGTTATTGTACAAAGCATGCAGTGCAACTTCCCAGGCGCTGAGTTGTTTTAATTTACATTATGCGCTATATTTTACAGAAATACTGCTGCGCTGACGGGGAACTTTGTGCCTAGGCGAATAAACTCTTCGCATAAAAATGCCTAGGACAACCAGCCATTATGACATAGTTCAAACAGCTTACGCGCATCATTACCGATACCACCATCTTCATCAGGACTAACTATAACAAATACATCTTATCAGTCCTGAAGATTTTACCGGTAACGGCAAAGAAATGCGTCAGCTGTTAATTACAACATTACCATTCTATTTTTCCGCTTAAGATCAAAATCATGTATGAAGAAGATCTAACTAGCAGAACTGGTTTCAAATCACTCGACGCTGCACAAGTATTGCAGAGAGGTCGGCTTCGCCTCTGCTGTGACATTCTTCAGCTACGAAACCAGCTAGCGCTTCACTATGACAAATTATGTAGTCTCATCTCTGCAGTAAGTGTCGA